CTTGCCATCTTTGAAAAATCGCTGTCAGACGCTCAAATGAAATACCCTCACTGTAGAAAGAAGCCCGACGTTTAAATATTTTACTCTGCATAATCAAGGTTATTCGCCAATGTCTTTCAAGAACAAAAAACGAGAAAATTGTCTTCAGTTTCTCAAAACTGGGACACCCAAATGGAAATAACAATCCAGACTCACCCCATTTGAGCTCAATGAATTTGGGATCAACATTGAACTTCTTTGCTGCCTTTTGGAGTGCAATCTCTTCTGAGTGTGCAGATACCCAGTATCGATCATCGCAGGGATCTCCAGCTGGTGTCTGACACATTTAGAAATTACCTTATCACAAAAACGGTAGAAATATTATACTGTTAGTCATCCAACAGGTTCTTGAGATGAACTAGATAAATTTCTAGTTTAGATCTGAAAACGTGAAAATCTTCCATCCTTTCCAAGCATCCCAAGTTCCCAATTCAAACAATAAGAAAAATGTGAAGTCATGGCAAGTTGAACAAAAAAACCAAGGGGCGATAGAGTCATACTTTCCCATCAGTGACCGTTACGAAATAAGCTGGGATGCGATGCCCCCACCAAAGTTGACGAGAAATGCACCAATCTCTGAAAAATAATTATAAGATATCTGCATTATAACCGCGCGAATACGAACATACATACCGGCTGCTCTGAAGCCAACGATTCCAGGTTCCAACGTGATAATCAGGAATCAGTTTTAGTTCTCCACTTTCTACAGCAGCAACAGCTCTTTTCGCCATCTCATCACACTTCACATACCACTGTGCTTTTAGTAAAGGTTCAATAATGTCCTTGGAGCGACTAAATGAAAGAAGAAGGTTTCGACACAAAGCACACAGGAAAGAAACCTATGGAAAACAGCTAGAACCTGCAAATTGGTACAACCATAGCGTTATCTTCTGAACCTCTGTACAATCCAAGTTCTTTGAGCGCTTCAGTTACAGCCTTCCTTGCATCAAAACGACGCATTCCAGAGAATTGACCACAACCGGGAGAGATATTTCCATCGTCATCAATGCAGTTTATAAATGGAAGGTTATGACGTTGACCGACCTTGAAATGTTCGAGTCAATTCAAAAGAAGCGCAGGTAAACAAAAAGTCGTAAACCTCATAGTCATTGTGATCATGGGCAGGAGTGATTTTTACGGCACCAGTTCCGAACTCACGATCAACGAATGAATCTGCTATGATGGGAAGCTCACGGTCAACGAAAGGATGTTTGCACACCTTGAATGAATACCAAATCACATGATCAAGTGTTTCAAAAAGACAAAGCACTGGCCACCTACTTTGCCTATGAGGTGTTGGTAGCGCGGATCCTCCGGATGAACAGCTACAGCACTATCGCCGAGCATGGTCTCAACGCGGGTTGTTGACACAACTACTTCACCATCTAA